ATCCGTTTCGACACCTTTCATCCACAAAGCTTGCAACTCATCATTCTCAAAAATAACTGCCTCGGCGCTTGGGTCAATGGATCGACTAGTGTTACGACTAGTTTTTCTGGTGTTAACAGGATAAAGAGAAACTGATGGTAACAGCTGGATTACCCTTCCCGCGTTTCTTTCATCGTCGAGTCCTGTAGGCTTATCCTGTTCCCTCCTCGACAATGCGTCTGGTCGCTGACTAGCGGTACCAGCTCGCCACTGAATTTTGAAATTAAACTGTTGCAAAGTATCATTATATCTGGCTTGTCGCTCGTTGAGTAGCTTTTTGGAGGCGAAATAACTAAGATTTTTATGATCACTAAGTATTGTGAAAGGCTTTTCGACTGATTTTAATTCGGCTTGCCACTCCTTGAGGCATTCAATAATCGCGAGCATTTCTTTGTCATGAATAGGGTAATTGTATTCGGCGCCCGTCAATCTTCTCGAGAAATAAGCAATTGGCCGTAATCTTTTCAGATCATCCAATTGTGATAGACATCCTCCCAGTGCAAAACCAGAACAGTCTGCTTCTAACACGGTGTCACGTTCTGGATTCCATTGTGCTAAGACCGGCGATGTCGCAAAAATTTTCTTTAATTGTTCGAAAGCAAAATTTTCTTTTTCACCCCAGTGCCACGGTGAATTCTTCTTGGTCAAGTCAATCAGTGGGGCTGCAATGTCAGAAAACTTGTCTATGAAGCATCGATAAAAGTTAGCAAATCCTAAAAATGATCGAACACCTTTAACAGAGGTAGGTGCCTCCCACTGCATTATGGCTTTCACTTTATCTGGGTCGGTTGAAACACTCTCGCCTGCCTTAATGATGAATCCAAGATACTTAACTTGTTGACAAAGGAATTCGCATTTATCGATATCAAGATATAGTCCCGCTCTCTCGAGTTTTGATAGTATGCTTCTAACGACTTTCCAATGTTCTTCCTCACTCCCTGATGTATACGCCAGAACATCGTCCATGTAAGCTGTGGCATCAACGTCAAGGTGTTCGCGTAATTGTTCGTTAATATATCTTTGAAAGGTTGCTGGTGCATTGGAAAGACCGAAGGGTGTTACCATCCACTCGAAGAGACCAAACCGACAGCGAAATGCCGTCATCCATTCGTTGCCTTCCTTGACACGTATTCTATGGAAAGCTGATTTTACATCGAGTTTTGTAAACCAATTTGCTCGAGATAACTGACGCAGCGTTTCTTTAAATAATGGAAGTGGATATCGGTCAGGCAAAGTTATCGCATTTAGCCCTCGATAGTCCACGCAAAATCGAAGGCCTCCGTTCGGCTTCTTTGCAAAGAGTACTGGTGCTGCTGCTGCCGATTTACTTGGTCGAATCCAACCCTTTTCCAGGAGATCCGTTAATGTTTTTCTCAGAACAAGCAACTCCTCTCTTGACATACAATAAAGCGGACCCCATGGCGGCGACAGAGTTTTACCCTTCTCTTTTCGCAACTCGATAGCATGATCTAGATTGCCGCGTAGGGGTGGCAAGTCGTTCGCCCCTGTATTATCTGCAAATAAATGGGCAAAATCCTTGACTTGATCAGGTAGTCGATTTTGCGCCTGTTCTAACGATAAGCACGCCTTTCCACGTAATGCCTTATTTATGTCTTCGATTGATGCCTTGCAAACTGGAACTGTTTCAACCATTGTTGCCATGGTCTTAATAGGGACGTTCTTCGGACGGGCAACATTTCTTAAGTCTTGTCTCCAGCGGTCGACACTGCATATAGATCCACCACATTTGCGAAGTTCAAGACGTTGCTCTTTAGAATGAACTACCGCATCTTGATCTTCGAGCCATTTTTTTCCCAAAATCAATTGATGAGTGCTGTTAGGTACAACGTAAAGCCATAGTTTTGGCGTAACGTATCCATCAAGATCTAGTGATAAATAGGTAATATTGTTGACAGTCGGTTTGTTTGTGGACGAATTATCTGCAGTTTCTAGTATTCTAGGGGTTATTGGAATGCGCGGTAGTCGTAGTTTTTCAGCTAATATATCATCAATGATTCCAAAACACAAGCAACCGTTGTCTACTAGTGCTTGGACCATTCTTGTATCATTTAATAATGCATTTAAAAGAAAAGGCTTTGTATTTAAACTTGCTTCAAAACTGCTGACTATTTCTGGCTCCTGAGCGCGACTGGGTTCAGGAGCTATAAGTTTTCCGAATCCAATTCCTTTCCTTCAATATAATACATAGATGGATCTATTTCTGGCAAAGATGTAGAGGTAACCCATACTGAATTACCCTTGGGCTTTATGGCCGGCAGTAAAGAGCACCTTTTGGTTACACACCCTTTACGCTCACACCTAAAGCAACGACCTTCCCGCTTCAGTGTTTCCAATTGAGATTTTGTTTTCCATTTTGCTCGTCTGCTTTCTTCTCTTTTTACGCCCATCGCATTAACGCCACCCATGATAGTATCACCTGACTTGTCCACGTCATTGTTCAATCCATGACCACTGTATTGGCTGCCGAAGTTATCAGGAGTTTTTCTTTGTGGTGGTCCGTTATTTAAATCACTTCCATTGGTGTAATCTTTTCCCCTGCTTCCATGTCTGAAGTCTCCGTTGGAGCATAAATACTCTCGTCTACCCTTGAAACGGGACTCTGCTATTTCAAATTGTTGCGCCACTTTATTGACTATGTTCACCCATTCATTAAAATCTTCTTCGGGCAACATATGATTCGAGGCTAATGCCATGGTCAACTTTTTGTTCAACGTATTTTGAAGCAGTGATATTTTGTTATCGTCGGGCCAAAAGTCACCCCGAGCCTCAGTCAGTTTGTTAGACCAAGATGCGTAAAAATCCGACCACCGTTCGTTGTCTTCCATTTTCATCGACTGGAGCTCTGTTTTCGCTCTTGAAACTCTCGTTGAATCTAGAAATAGTCTATCCAGAAACTCGATGAAGTCTTCTGGGTCCCTGGTGTTGTGGACTCCCCCTGATTCGTAGAAGGGACTGGCTTTTGTCCTTGCCGTGCCTTTCAGTGCGTTGTATATCATTAAAAAAGCACGAGAGTTGTCGTATCCAAATAAATACCAATCCATACGAAAAGTATCCAGGACAGCGGCACGCCATGCTGGATATTCTGCTCTGTTCCCAACGAATTCCGGAAGTTTTGTCGGCTTCAAGCAAGTGTTCTCTCTAAGTGGGGGATCCTTTTCGATGATCAATCTCTTTGGCGTAATTTTACAAGACTGCGTGTCCAGTAGTTTTTTAAATTGTTGTTGCAGCTCTCTGAATTCTTCTATTGGCACCACTTGCAAATTTCCCCCGGATGCCATTGTGAACAAATTCCTGCGGTTCTGAATATCTGAAACTGACTGCGGATCTGATTATCTGAAAATAACTGCGGTTCTGAGTATCTGAAACTGACTGCGGATCTGATTATCTGAAAATAACTGCGGTTCTGAGTATCTGAAAATAACTGCGGTTCTGAGTATCTGAAAATAACTGCGGTTCTGAGTATCTGAAAATAACTGCGGTTCTGAGTATCTGAAAATAACTGCGGTTCTGGATGTCTGAAGATAGAAAATAATATGTCACAGTTCGAGGTATAGATGCTGGGGCGATCAAATATACGAAGGTTGTTTATTATTTTCTATACCACAATATGTGTGTCCTAACTTAACTATTTATACACTTATTAGGCTATCTAGAATATTCCTTCCTGTCTGATACTAGCCTCTGTTATGTTTCCCTGATACCAGTTCACAGTCTCAACGCCAGTTGCTAGAATCCTCTAGTCATGTTCAGAATAAACTAGAGTGAAGTTTCGCCCTTTCACAGAATTGTTGAGGCAAGTGATCAACATCACGTGATACAGGACAATTATCGGCTCACTAGCCGTTACATGAAGAAGGCCTAGAGGGCTCACTATGCGTAGAGGTCTGCTAATATCAGTCATAGGACTAGATTCATGATTGCTATTCGTTCAAAGATTTTGGGGAGGTCTATGGCCATCATGTTCAGCGAGAAATTTAAGCATCTACTTGCATCATTCATGTTAATCCATGAAATTGAATTGGACTGAATTACCTCAATTCAGTCATTCCTGAAAATCAAGAATTTTAGTACTTCTACATCTGAGACCTAATAATACCAATTTCTCCTCAAATCAAAGCTTTTAATAATTTTGCTCCGATTATCTTTGGGCCTGGCTTTAATTACCAAGCTAACTCTTCAGCGTTTAATACTGACTATCTTAAACACCTTTATAGCACCTGATTATTGTATAATTCCATGTGACGCTCTGACAACTCTTGCTTCACTGATTAGCAGCTATTGTGATCAGGCCCATATAAAGATCACATGACATAAAATGGCTGGTTTCAAGAAATTGTTACCGACAGGACAAACGTTCCTGTGTCACTGATACGTCATCGGCATACAGCTATGATAACACCAGTATCTCAGCTTTACATGATAAAATGACGCAGATCTATCTAATGATAACATTATTGAATGATTGGGAATTGTTACTTTCGATGATATATTTTGTGTGAATTCTTTGTATATAAATACTTGCTGTTAGACTTCTGTACATGGGCAACCTTTCACTCTTATTTTAATAGGCATCAATATAGCAGATCTACAATCCATATCCGTCTTCTTCACGTTACACTTAAAGCGCTATCCCATATCCACTCACGCTGACTGTTATATCCATTGAGTCAATTCTCAGACTTCTCAGAACTTCGTTATCACAATAGCTGTGCCTTGTCAGTCAGCTCAAGGATAGGTGTAGGGAAAGCCACAAAATACACCGAGCAGATTAAATGCTTTAAAGTGACTTCGTTCTATGGCTTCAGGCAGGCCTATGATAATTTATCAATCGCGTTTGAGTGAAAATGTTCTATTTGTCTATTCCTTGAATCCTCAACAGGCCGCTAGAATGGTTCTCCATTCAGGGCCCTCTAATCCTGTCAAATATATCTTTGTGTAATTTATTCGCCATTATTAATAAGGAAGAATATGCAACTGCCACATATGGAGGCTGCTATTGCTGTGAGTACCTATTGTATGACTGGTTAGCTACCGGATGCCCTCTCAGTTGGGGTAGCTTAAGCTTTAGAAGGCAGCTCTTTGTATACCTAAGGAAAAGTAGATGACTCACTGTTAGGGTTTTCCAGCCATTTTGAACAATGGCAACTTGTCGGCTGTATTTGTCCACGGTATTAATATATGTACCAGCTCCTACACCAAGACAGGCCACACTTAGAGACCAAAAAACTAGGCCGAGAGGTTTTGCTACCCGTAGTTCCAATTTTGAGGGTTCATCTTTGAAATGAAATGAAATAACTATGGCACAAGCAATGAGAGCCATATAGGTGCTGAGACGTAGGTAGGAGAGAAATGTCCGTTCGTTTGCACAATGATCGCGAGCATCGCTATTAGAATTATTAAATATTAGTGCACTAAGCAGTGGTGGTAAATAAAAAGCGGATTTGGAGTTCAGAGATTGGCTGTTTCAAAAATAAAATCTATCAGTAAATATTTGTCTCCCAGAATATCCGCATTAGTTGTATATTTTTAGACCTACTTGGTGCGACGTTTCGACACATCAACTGGATAGGGCCTCAGACGTAACCCTAGTGGGCGATAATCATTGAGTCCTGCTTCTAGACTTCCTTCCATTTATCGTGGGGAATGAGGATGTGAGCTACAAACAATCTTGTCCGAAAACACTTGGTCCACACGAGACAATGCCAAGGAGTCCGTCTACAAAATTTAATTGGCGATCGCTTTTACTAGATAAATACCGGATGGCAAGACTGAACACCTTTACGTGGTGTTTTCTGCGAACATGAGAGTGAAATATTCTTCCAGAGCCAATTTCAATCAAATTTTGCGATACGATAGAACTTGACCCACGAGGCAATGATTTAAAGCACTCCGCAATGTCAATTTTTAACTCCCGAAGAGTTCAACTCCTATCTAAGTCTCATCAAGACTACAAGTACGACCTATTACATCCTCATTCCAATGATCACACTTCTTCTCGACTTTCTCTGGCCTCAGCTTGTCACCAAATACACGTCCACGCCGATATCTACACCCAACGAACGAGACAAAGCGTGGCGCCCGAATCTAGAAGGAAGTTGTTTGGAATAGGCGTGAGAGGGGTGAGGAAATATTCACAAGATGATGCAAAGGATGGATATAATATCGATGGTCGAGGGATTTCGAATTCTAGCAAGAAAATTACAAACTGAGCCTTGTGCGCGCCAAGACTTCGGTTGCGAGAGTGCAGGCGACACTCTAAACACCGCTGAGGTTTCTTGCGTGCACTAGATGTTTATCGGAAACAGGGTGTGTGATTATCACCAAGGTCAGGTGGTGCAATGGTTACGCGGTGTCTCGTGGCTCCTGACTACAACTTAAGGTGGTAGAGCTTGAGACTAGATTGCGTGTCCCTTCAACGAGATCTATGCTATGATTAAATACATTCCTAAACTCCTCGCCACCCTTTACACACCGTGCGCCATCCCTGAATACTATTTGCCTCTTTACTACGCACTGATAGTTGCTCTCGTTCCTTGGTATTTGACTCAGTCTTACTTGTCTTAGCGTAGGCCTGATCTTGCCTCTGGCTTACTTAGACGACCGGGATTCTTGGGATCCACACCGCCATGATTGGATGGTGCGGTGGTACATCGTCTTGGCCTGTCTCCCAAGTAGAGTCTGGACAGCTTGGACATATATCCAACGCGAGACAGGAGATCGCTGGCTCGAATCCGGCAAAACACAACCACGGAGGGCAAGACTGAACACCTGTACGCGGTGTCCTCTACGAACCTGGGAGTGAAATATTCTCCCAGAGCCAAGTTCAGTCAAATTTCGCAATATCAAAGAAGTTGGCCCACGAGGCAAAAATCCAAATTACTTATCCACGTCGTTGTTTCGCTCCCAACGAGTTTGACTCCTATCTTCGTCTCATCAAGTCTACAAGTACGACCAAGTACATCCTCATCCCGATGACCACACCGCTCTTCGACCTTCTCTGGCCTCAGTTGACCGCCAAATACACGCCCACGCCGATATTTATACCCGACGGAGGAAGCAAAGCGTGGCGCACAAATCTGGGAAATAGCTCTTTGGGATGGACGTGGGAGGAATCAGGACAAATTCACAAGACGTGCAAAGGAAGGATATAACCTCGAAGGGCGTGAAATTCCGAATTTTGGCAAGGAGTTTTTCGAATTGGGCTTTGTGCGCGCCAAGACTTCGCTTGCGAGAGTGCAGTTGACACTATAAAAACAAGCAAACGATGGAAGGTGTTGTGGTCCGCCTCCTGGTGGTGTTCTCTGGTATAGTTTGAGTAGCCTGGGCACCTAATCCACTTGGGAAGGAGACACCTCAGATCACATATCGCGCGGAGAAAGGTTGAAAGATGATGGAGGCATGTCTGGATAACCCAGGGTTTTTGAGATGTTCCCCTGGGTGGGTATTCACGGATGAGGGTTGACTTGGGGTGAAGAAAAAGCCACCATAACTTCGCAGTGGTACTTGCAAATGAAATCCGAGGCATGAGTGCTCTTCTTGTAAATTGAGTCATCTATCATACACTTCTCTGATATTGTGTCATAGCTAGATAGCTGCATACGCAATTAAAATCTGATGCAAAAAAAAAAAAAAAACACAACCACATTTCTATTGAAGGAAGATATGGTTAGAAAACTGTACTGCTGGTTAATGCCTAGAGCTTATTTCGTATATTATTGTGCTGACTACTAAGTTCTACATTTACGCTATGTTCTATAGACCCTAGTTTAGACCAGCTTACAAATCAAGTCACATGTCTTCTAAGGCTCAGTGACTGATACTTCAACAATTTCTCGCGGCGCAGGTATACATGGATGACGAAGGCATGCTTGGATAACCAAAGGTTTTGAAACGTCCATTTGGTGGGTATTTACGGAGGAAGGTCGACTGTTTGTGTAAGCGAACATACCTCACAGTGGTATTTGCGAATGAAATCCAGAGTATGAGTGTCTCTAACGTCAAAAGAGTCTTACCACATGTATACATAGCGCCGGTCATGTGTCATAGCTAGATAGCTGAATACACATTAAATGATTTAAAAAAAAATTAGATAAATACCACATTACAGTACCGAAAATTTCACCCACCCTATTCCCGATAGGCCAGTTTACTAACTAGTGAATAATATCCGCTATTATGGTCCGTCATCCATATTCTCCAAAGACTGTAGTTCTTATCGACTTGTTTTAGAGAGTGTCTTGGATACCAATCAACTGTCTGGAATGTAATGGATACTATCAAGAGTGTAAAAACCACAACGCAAGAGCCTGGCTTGGTGAGTTTACAATAGTTAACAGAGATAGAAAGGAAAACGATCGAGGACGCAAATAGAGTCGTTGAAGATAAATTTCGACTTCAAGAAGAGTTGTATGCGCTTATGAATTTCAGAATGCTCTACACATTGTTAAGACAGCCAACTATAGTTTCGAGGTTTATCAAATCCAACTCTATGTCAAATAAACACCTACTATATCAATACCTCAAACTCTGAAGACTCAATTTACTACTGTCATAATAGGTAGTCAAATAATGATATGCATAGACAGCTCAGACATTCTTTCTGCGCTTTTTCTACGAACCCCGTTTATGGTTAAGAGGATAAAAAGCACGCCTTCGACGTCAAGTAGCATGAGTGAGTGTATAAAGTCTGAACTTCTGACATTGGCCTCATTAAAGACGCTCACAGACAACTTTTTACTCGAGACAAGATTCAGTCGCGAACAAGGACAAGATGAGCTTAATCCTACGCATTTTCGCTCTGAATGATCCGTGCTCATTATCTCAATCTAAAAGCAGCAACTAGAGATTTGGCTACCGCAAAAAAAACTCGTAGAAAAATTTGGCATCAAAATACGATTGAAATTTGGAACGAATTCTGTCCAGGTGTCATATTTGGCTACTGATAAACCTCGCTTCCCAATTTTCTACGATTAAAGTTCTTAATGAAGCCCGACCTTGTGATTAATCTCGGTGGTCATGATAACATATGGAAATTTGCCATCTTGACGGAAAGTCTTCCTTACAAGCTAGGTGTGCATAAGTGAGATATATTTGAGCAGGCGTCTGGTGTAAACCATGGCCTTGTAGCGTGGGTTGGAGCTCAAACATCATAAATACACCCTTTTTAATATCATTCAAATGTATTTAGTTACATAGCTATGACACATAATCATTGCTTTGTGTATATCTTTTATTACTCTTTTGACGCTGGAGACACTCACACTCTGAATTTCATTAACAGACACAACTGTGAAGTATGTTTGCTAACACAAACAGTCGAGCCTCCTCCGTGAGTACCCATCAAAGAGAAGTTTCAAAACCTTTGATCATCCATTCTAGCATCAGGAGAAAAGTGGTTGGGTTACGCTGGATTTGAACCAGCAATCTCCTGTTTTAAGTGGAATATATGCCCCAGCTATCCAGGCTCTTCTTAGAAGACTACTCAAAATGATGCACCACCGCACCATCCAACCATGGCGGTGTTAATAGTGTCCCCTGCACTCTAGGAATCGAAGTTGTGCGGCGCACAACGCTCAATTTTAATAACTCTTTGCCAGAAATCGGAACTCTACCCCTTTTGAGATAGTATCCAACGTTAGTATCGTCTTATCATGTCGAACCTTTTAAGCTGGCTCGGAAGCTTTAATGACTGAGACTGGAAGTATCTAGAAGAATAGCTCGCACAGGAGCTTTCAATTGAAGTGAATAAAAACATGTAATTGTCTGTCTGTCTATCTTCCTCTTTCCCTCAGCATATATATCTACACATATCTACTACCTGACAAATGATGATAATATCTAGAAATAGCTTCCTTACATCACAAGACACAATCCGAACATGTTGAAGCCAAGATATAATCCTAAAAATGCTCAATACTAGTCCACCACGTCTGTTACACGGACGCCAAGTATTTTTTAGCTGAATTTACCCAAAACGCCAAGTGAGGACGAAGGCTGAATACCTGTCAGTGGTGTCCTCTACGAACCTGGGGGTAAAATATTCTCTCAGAGCCGAGATTCAGTCACGACAAAGGGTGAATTTGAGAGTTTTCGTCGAGTTGGCGATCGGGAGGAGTGATGTTGGCTCATTTTTGGTCGAAAATCCGACTTGTAGAGATTTCACAACCGCACAACTAAACGAAATCAACCATCTATACACCAGATACGAACCGCAGACAGGCTTTATCCTGTCTGATGTTCGTATTACAACAACTGACACCTTCAACATCTTATTTTCTTTTTCTCTGGAAATTCACTCCCAGCCAAACTCATGTCGCGGCCCTCTCCACAATCATCTCACCACCTACCTAAGCAATCCCATACCTCCAAAAGCCAAATTGCCAACTAAGAAGCAAGAAGATTTCCGACCCTCCGCAACTGCCAGTCGCTGTGAAGGTACGGTCGAAATACTGGCCTTAAATGCGTCCTCACCTCGGCCAAGGGCACCAACAACTCGACCTGCGAAGAATCGCCACCTACGAAATACGTATGAAATTTCGCCGACATACTAACTAGAGAGACCGACAAAGGCTAGGGTAGCGGTGCCTCGTTCTTGAGCTCTCAGTCGCGTTTTCGACCTCCATGGTTAGGGG